GGCGGGGGAGTGGCGCCTGGGACACTCACCAACCTTCCGGTTCGCGAGGGATTGATCTCACTTCAACGGCTGAGAACCTGTGCCCTGGAAAGAAGCCCCAAAGCCTTATTATCTTGGTGCACTACCTCAGCAGGGCCGCTCAGTGGAGCCGGCACCATACCCACGTGTTCCTGCAGTGGTAGCAACAAAACCCTCAGTGAGATCCTTTTCCTACAACTAAGGGGCGATGCTAGCCAGTGATTGGCATTTCCATTCCCCCCCATCCTTGCCCGAGGCCAGCAACTGGAGCAAGTGGAATAATGCAGCTTTTTAATTTGATTAATGACCACCAGAGGTTTGTCAAGTTTTTAATTGGTCACATTTTTTTGAATTTTACAGAAGTGTTTGTAAACACCGGTGAGTGGGGACTATTTTTGATAAATGAGTTTAACAAGGCGGGCACAGTGGCTCACACCTGTAATTCCAGCACTTTGGGAGACTGAGGCGGCAGGATAGCTTGAGGCATGGAGTTTCGAGACCAGCCTGAGCAACATAGGGAGAGCACGTCTCTACAAACATATTAGCTGGGCATTGTGGTACGTGCCTGTAGTCCCAGCTATTCGGGAGATAGAGCCTGGAGGTTGAGGCCGTGGTGAGCCATGATTGTGTCCCTCCACTCCAGCCTGGGGGATAGAGTGAGACTCCGACTCAAAAATACACAAACAAATAAATAGACATGTACTAATAATGTGCTGTACCTACGCAAGCAAGCAGTCTTTGACATCAGTAACTGTTTATTGAGCACAGAGGTACTCTCAGCGTTGTGGGTGGAACTGTTTGTTCTTCACTGGACTGGATAGTCCCACATACTGGAAGGCTTTGGAAAGCCAACAAAATGCAGGTATTTTCCCCACCCCACACCAATCAAAAAGTATAACTACACACTTCCAACCAGCAGTAAGATCCCAGGCTGAGCATATCTCAGATTATCTAGTTGCACATTACCTCCGTGCTATTTAACATTTTAAAAAATTATTACACTTTATTAAATAATTATTGCACATCTGATAGAGTAGGTAAGTTGGACTAGGAAGACTTCAGGGCTGTAGGAAAAGTTCCAAGCTCACTGATATCTGCAGCAGCTGATATCATGCATGCAAGCAAATAACTTCACACCTACCTGTTAGGCTCTTATCAGATACATCTGCAGCATTGTAGTCTGGATGCTTGCAGCTGAGAACCAACCACCACGGCAGAAACCAGCCTAGAAACAACCCTCTCCCTTCCTCAGCATGTACATCAATAGCCAAAACCATAACATACTTTTACTTTCATTGTATATTATTAACACAAAATTACCCTAGGAAAACCTCCCACTTCCATCATACACCCGACACCACGACAATACCAGTATGACCCTGTAATGCCTAATACTGCCCACCCCCCACACGAAGAAGGAGTAAGAGACACTTAGCCCTAAGATCACCCATTTCTAGGAAAAGCCCATCCCCAAACCCATTCCTTAGCTCCCCTAAGGATAAAAGTTATAACTCAACTATAGTTAGGTGCAGAAGCAGCAGCTTTCCGTAGGCTGTTTCTGCCTGCTCTCTTGAGAATGTACTGTTCTTTGCTTATTAAAACTACCTGCATGTACCACTTCTCTGTGGGTCTGTTTGTGAATACATTCCAAACGTGAACACAAGAACCAGTCTCCACCTGTCTCACGCTGAGAGGAGCACCACTTCTCCTAATAACACATCCTTGTGTTATTTTGAGCCTGATTTATTTGTTTCAGTCAGCTATCAGCTGTGAATCACATCTCAAGTTACAAGAGTATGTTTACTGATGAAGTCAACTTTGCTCCAGAAATGGTGTTCTTTCCTGTCTGGTGTCGTGAAACCAATATACAAAACTGAAAGTAGGGGTCAAACAGGGCAGGCTTTAATTTTATGGACATACGATGGAGAAGCGGAAACATAGTACACAAATCAACTTTTTATGTGGCATAAGGTGAGGAGTTAAAATGATACAGAGACCTGCTGATGTCTGTCCATATTGTCACAGCCCCTAGAGAAGGGCATGACAAGGGCGCAAGCACTCCTGTACATTCCTGAACAATATTCCTGAGAGCTAATAAAAGGTGTGCTTCCCCTTATGTCCTGTGCACTCCCAGTAAGTAGCTTCAGGTGATTCTTAATTTCCCTGTAGTCTATGCCTAATCAACTGAAAGTTGCAAATCTCTTTTTACTCCCTTTTTCTGGTTATAAGTTTGAATAATATAGTATCAATGTAATCATAAGCCTTGTGATTTGTATAACTTTTATATTAATGTAATTGTAAGTTTTGTGGTTTGTATAACTTTTGCATAATGCATGATGTCTTAGGCCCTTTTTGGCAAGCTTGCTTGCCACTTCTGCCAGGCCCTACTGATAAAAGCTATGAGATATCTCTGATACTTGGCACCAGGAAGTCTGGACCGAAAATGTCACTATCGATAAATGCAACTGAAACTCAAGTCCTATATAATGTTCTGCTGGTCATGTGGCTAATGTATAGGTACTAACAACTCTGGACTTATAAAAGTGAACTGTAAAAGCCTGAGGGGTAAGCAGAACCATTTTAGAAAAACCTCGAGTCTGACTCTGCTCCCTGGTTTCAAACTCAGAAATAAACTTCTTTTTACCAGTTCCTTGCCCCTTTAATTTATTGGTATCAAGGGGAGCAGCCTAGCGTTACTTGGACCACAAGAAAAATACGGGGTTTCGTAAATGAGGGGGTTGACCACTAAAAGCAAAGGGAGGAATATTCATGTATTTTTGAAAATGGGCCGAGGTTTCCCAGAATTAGGATCATGCCTTTTAATTTCCTGATTTGGTCCCACATTTCCTGTTGTGGCTGCTGAGTGTGTCATTTAGTATGGAAAATACATTATAAGGAGGTTAGAGGTTCTTCAGAGGTCAAGTGGATTGCCATCTTGTATTTCACCAGTTTAAACTAATTTGGTCAAGAGAGGAACTTCTTCCTCAAGCCTTTCTATTTCTTTCTCTTTTTTTTTTGAGTTGGAGTCTCACTTCGTTGCCCAGGCTGGAGTGCAATGGCACACTCACGGCTACCCCAGCATCGACCTACTGGGTTCCAGCAATCCTTCTGCCTCAGCCTTCCAAGTAGCTGAACTATAGACACGTGCTATCATAACCGGCTATTTTTAATTTTATTGTAGAGACGAGGTCTCGCCAAGTTGCCAAGGCTGGTCTTGAACCCACGGGCTTAGGCAATCCACTCGCCTTAGCATCCCAAAGTGCTAGGATTACAGGCTGAGCCACCGAGCCCTGCCTTTCTTTTTTTTTAAAGATAAGCAGTGTCAGTTCAAGGCAGAAATTCAGCTATGTCAACCATAGGCAATACACTGTGTAAGAAGCAGTGTCCACATGGAACTTCCTCTCTCACTGCCTTCCTCGGAGTATTTTGGCTTGAAAGTAATAGAGAATTGATCCTTTCACAGTGGCTGCCCACAAATGTTGGTTAGAATAGTTGGTTCTCTCAAACATCATTCATTCATTAATTAGTTCAAAACATATTTACATCACGGTGTTTTCTTGTGTCAGTAGGGAGCAAGGGAGACATAGAACTGATATTCTCGCAGAGGCAAACAATACAGATATCTGCAAATAGTGACTCGTGTGATAATAGTAAATGAACAGGGTAAAGGTCTAGAGAGTGACTGAGTAGGGAGTACTTTAGATGTGATCTCCAGTGAGACCTCATTGAGGAGGTCACATTTGAGCTGACACCTGCATGTTGAGAAGAAACCAGCAGGGGGCGATCTGGGGAAACAGCATTCCCATCAGTGAATGCATTTATGCCGGTAGGCTGTGCAGTGCTTGTGTCTATAAAAACGAAAAACAGGGATGGTTATAATGCTTAATCCTGTCTCATTCTTATCCCTCAACAAGTTTACGTGAACTTGTTGAGGGATAAAAGGCTCTTCCTTCTCATTAAAAATGTATTTCTATTACAAATTTTACTTTTAAAAAATTTATGTTTAATAATTAGGGAAATTTGTAATATATTTATGTTATTTTGAGCAATTGTGTACAAATAATAATTACAATGAGTACTCATTCCAGAATGAATATTGATACTTATAATTTGGTGTCACAGGAAATTTTTAACTAAAAACATTTTTTTGAGTTGGGATGTCTGTCACCCAGGCTGGAGTGTAGGAGCATGATCACTGCTCATCACAGCCTCAGCCTCCTGTGCTCAAGCAATCCTTCCACCTCAGCCTCCTGAGTATCTGGGACCACAAGTGTGGCACCACCACACTCCAGCTAATTTTTTAATTTTTATTTTTAGAGCTGGGGTCTTACTTTGTTGCCCAGGCTAGTCTCAAACTCCTGGACTCAAGCAATCCTCCCTCCTCAGCCTCCCAAAGTGCTGGGATTACAGGCATGAGCCACTGTGCCTGGCCTGCCATATATATTTTACCACAGTAATTAAAAAGCGGTAGAAGTCACTGATCTTTATTAAAAAAAGGAATGAATTACAGAGCTGTTTTTTGTTCCTTCAAAAGGTCAACTACAACAACATACTTTAAATTAAAGAGCAAATTGAAGGAAGAACATTTTGTTAATTACAAAGTGGCATGTACCATAAGAGATAAGATAGACAAGTGGGACCTCATCAAACTGACAAGCTTCTGCAAAGCCAAAGAAACCATCAAGAGTGCGAGGAGACAGCCCACAGACTGGGAAAAAATGTTTGCCAACTATAGTATGTCTGACAAAGCCTAACATCTAGGATCTACAAGGAACTCAAATGTACTGAAAAGTAAAAAACAAACAGCCCCATTACAAAGTGAGCAAAAGATATGGACACTTCTCAAAAGAAGACATACGAGCAGCCAACAGATACATGAAAAAATGCTCAATCTCATTAATCATCAAAGAAATGCAAATTAAAACCACACTAGATACCACCTAACTCCAATCAGGATGGCTATCATCAATAACTCAAAAAACAGCACATCCTGGAGAGGATGCGGAGAAAAGGGAACACTTCTACACTATTGGTGGGAATGTAAACTAGTACGGCCTCTGTGGAAAATAGTGTGGCAATTCCTAAAAGATTGAAAAATCAACCTTCCATACGACCCCACAATCCCCCTACTAGGAATATACCCAGAAGAAGTCAGATCACTCTATAAAAAAGATACCTGCACATGTATGTTTATTGCAGCATTGTTCACAGTAGCAAGAACATGGAACCAATCGTGTTGCCCATCAAAAGAGGACTGGATTTTTTAAATGTGGTACACATACACGATGGAATATTATGCAACCATAAAGAACAAAATCATGAACTTCACAGCAACCTGGATGGTCTTAGAGTCTATAATACTGAGTGATCTTTCACAGAAACAAATAACTGAGTATCACATGTTCTCACTCATAAGCAGACCTTGAACAATTATCGTAATACTATAAGAAAAGAATTGGCAGTAGCGGGAAACTGCCAGGAGGAGAGCGAGGAAGCAGGTTTGGCAGTAGTGGGAATCTGCTTGGGAAAGGGGGGCACACCTCATCAACAAGGGTACCTGCATAATGAACACTTATATACCTAATCCTGAATTGTACCCCACATCTTAAAAAAAAAATTAAAAGAGGGAAAAAATAATTTTAAAAAAGAAAATGGCATGTATAGACACTCAGTGATTGAATATTTATTTAATATCCAAAGATTTACTAATACACCATAAAGTGAAATACATATGTACATTTGATTTTTTAAGAAGGAATTTTCATTTTAGCTCAGTTTCAGTAGCTATTAAACAGTCATTCAACAGAGTAAATTAACACTACTTTGTAATACAGAACTAACATACTTTCCTGCAACTATGCTTATTGCATTATTCTTCTGTATTTCGGGATTTTCAGGTGTTAGCTGAAGAGGTAATTCTACTGGTTGGATGCATTAGAACTTCTTACCTTTAAAAATAAAAGGAGCAATAATCAAAGTCCTAATACATTAATTATTAACTTAGTGTATTATTATTTTTTTGAAGTAAAAGTTCGCAATAGGCAATAGAACAAATGCTTTTGGCTTTTGGAAAAATTAATGCTGTATATAGCAAAATAATGTAAAACCCATATGTGTGGATATTCTTTAACATCACCATTTGAAGAAATCTTCAGTTTCCCTGGTTTCTTGAACCTCTAATATGGTCCCTTCCTCTGATGTGAAAATAAAGTGTCTGTTCTGTCTCTACGTGCACACACTGTTCAATAAACTTCTGTTACTTACGACTCATTACTTATTCAATGATTTTTGTATGTGTGCCTTGATGATGATGATGATGATGATAAAAATCCACCCACAGAATCTTTTTAAACACTCAGAATGTGCAAAACATTATGTTTTAACTTGTAACTGTTGATCCTGGGGCAGGCAGCTGTGAAAGTTTGGAATAGGGGACTAAAACACATCTCAAACCAGTCAGAAATGCCAGGTCCTTAGGCTGCTAGATGACGAGATGAGAATTCCAGAAGAAGGTTCTAAATCTATGTTTCGCCCTATACAATTGAAACATGTTTTAGCGAGCTACATGCTTGCAGCCAGGGCACCTAACAAATGTTTACATGATTGAAAATGTCAGGATGATGTTTTTTCTACCACCTTTCCTGTTTGTTTGGTCTTTTTGTTTTTTTCTTTGTATCTTTCCCTTTTACCTTTGTAGGATTTGGGACCCTGATCTAATCAGAACATTGACAAAATCTTATTCATTATATCGAATAAGATGCACACAAAAAAATTCATTTAGTAAGCAAACTTGTAAAAATGTTTATTCTCATGAATAATAAAAAGCGTACACATTAAATTTAAACTTTTTAAAAATGGGAATGCAAGTTAGCATATGAGAAAATGGTACTTCAGACATTGCTTTTAATAAGTTTGGCAATATATATATCAAGAACAATAAAATGTTACTAAACTTTAAACAAGTAATTCTATTTCTTAGATTCCAATCTAAGAAAATAAGTGGAAAATATGAATAAGCAAAATAGTAAAATGTTAATAGTGGTTTTGTTGATGTGGGGATTATGAATAATTTTTGTCTTCTAAATTTTTAGAAATTGTGATTTTGTTACTTTTAAAATTTAAAAACTAAATTAAAAAGAAAAAATTAACATTGCCTTTGTGAATAATCACTTTGTGTGCCTTATTAGTAAATAATTTGCTTAATCTCTCAAATACTGCAAAGCTAATTTCCCATTGTCACTGCACCACCATCATTTCAACATCTGCAAAGAGGTGATTTTATTGAAAATATTTTGATTTGGCTTTAATTTTATAGTCAGTACCCATTTGAGCACTAGCATATTGTTTCCTTTCTCAAAAACCTATGGTGTCTCACCAGTGCCATAGAGCAGGGGTTCCCAGCCCCTAGGCCACTGACTGGCATGTTAGGAATCAGGCCGCACAAGTGGGCAAGTGAGCAAGCTTCTTCTGCATTTACAGCTGCTCCCCATTGCTCACGTTACAGCCCGGAGCCACCTCCTGTCAGATCAGCCATGGCAATAAATTCTCATAGGAGTGTAGACCCTATTGTAAACTGAACATTCGAGATATCTAGGTTGCATGCTCGTTATGAGAAATTTAATGCCTGATGATCTGACATGGAGCTGAGGCAGTGATGCTAATGCTGGGAAGTGGCTACAAATACAGATTAACATTAGCAGTGAGGTTTGACTGCAGAGACCATAATAAACCAATTGCTTGAAGACTCATATAAAAACCCTATCAGTGAGTGGGGCAAGTGAGTTGATGTACTTCAATTGTGCAGCTGCATCTGGTGACAGGATTTAAGTCAGAATCTGATACTTATTTTAGTTTGCACATGACCCACCCATTATTTTACTTACCACTTCTATCTGCACCTCTTTTTTTATGGTGAGTTATATAATTATTTCATTATATATCACAATGTAATAGTAATAGACATAAAGTGCACAATAAATGTTATGCATTTGAATCATTCTGAAACCATCCCCTGCTCCCTGGGCCGTGGAAGAATTGTCTTCCATGAAACTGGTCCCTGATGCCAAAAAGTGTCTTTCCATGAAACTGAGGACTGTTGCCATAGAAGAGTGCTCAAATCCCTCAGCCTGGTGTTCAAAATCCTCTTGACCTCTTCCCAACTTTGCTTTCTATCTTCACCTACTGTTATTCTTGTTGTCTTCTACTCATTCACACAGATGTTTATTAATTTATTTATTCAACAAATACTGAGGATCTACTCTGTGCTAGGCATGGTCCTAGGCCTCAAGGATAAAGTGAAGAGCAAAATAGGCTGTATGAACTAGTGGTGGAGATGGACATGCTTCAAAGAGCCATGTGGGTACATGTAAAATTACAAGAATGAGTGCTGCATGGTGTTATGGTTGTGTATGAACAGGTACACCAGCCTAATTTAGGGGTTGGAGAGGTTATCTTTTTCCTGAGGAAGTGACCATTTGAACTTAAAACACAAGTGATCCAACTGGGTCAGTCGGATTCTTCCTTGCAAGTCAACTCTCAAGCAGAATGACCTGAGGACTGAAAACAACTGCAGGTTCTTCACCCTGACCACTGGGCCCTGAAGAAGGTGTCCATTGGTTCCCGACCACTGGACTCCTGAGTTATCTGGTTCTTGCCCTGTCCCAGGCATGGTCATCCAGCTTCCCCTTTGACTTTGTGAGGCAGACAGTATCTTTCCATTTATTTTAGCTGAGTTAGCCTTGGTTGCTTGCAACTAAAGGAAGAACCCAAACTCAAGTAGGGTGGAAGGTTCTCAGACACAGAAGCTCAAAGGCCCTGAATTGGGAGCAGACAAGTTTAACAGGACTTTCCAACATTCCCCCTCCATCCTAACCACCCCCTACCACCACGTAGAGGCTCCATTCCTTCTTGCCCTATTTGCTTCTACCTTCCCCTTTTTTGGAATGTTCTCCAGTCCCACACCCACACTTTGATTATGGTGTGTATGTATATGTACATTTTTAATTAATTGATGTATTTTTAAGAAAAGAAAGGAGAAGAGAATAGGAGAAGGGAGAGGAAAGAGAGAAGGAGGGGAGGAAAGGGTAGGAAGGATTAGAAGGAGGTTGAGAAAGGAAAGAGAAAAGGGAATATATCAAGCTCAGAAGATTCTCCCCTACAAGAAAGTAAATGATCCTCCCCTGAATTCCCAGAGCCTGCTCTTGTGCACACCTTAAATCTTGCCTTGCTTTACAATTGTGTGTGTGTGTGTGTGTGTGTGTGTGTGTGTGTGTGTGTGTGTGTGTGTATCCTGTGTCCTCCGCTGGATAGGAAGCTCCTTTGGGACAGGATCTTGTCAAATTCCTCATTTTCTCCTTCATAGTATGTAGGTCCTACACCTTAACTTAGAGCTAAAAGATATTGGTTATTTGACCAATACAACTAGAAAAAAAGGCCACCAAAGATCTGAGGGAAAGGGAGAGGCAGCACATCCAGTAATGTCTAGCTTAATTATACATTTAGGGTGACCTACTAACAAGGGCCCTTAGGAATGGAAAATCTAGAAATAAAATGTAATTATTAAAAAACTAGAAATAAAATGTAATTATTCTTTAAGATAGATCATTTTTCCAAGACTTTTGTGACTTTCTTTCTTTGACCAAATGTCCTAAGGGGAAGCAGTAGAGTGTGGTGATTATGAGTCAGAAAGAACTGGGTTCAGCTTCTGACTCTACCACTACTGACTTTAGTGCATTTGACCTTGGATCCTCAGCCTCATTTCTTTTTCTGTAAGATGATAATAACAATATTATCTAAATGATGTGCTTATTGTAAAGATCTTGTTAAAGCAGTTGGCAAGTAATTATTTAACTGTTTTAATATTCTTAATGAGTTCATAAAATATATTGAGTGTATTTAGCCATAATATACTTAACTACCCTCTTGTTTTTAAACATTAGATTACTTTGAATATTTTACTATCTTAAATAATTTTGTGACTGCAGATCTTGGAGGGGAAACTTTTAGTCAAATTTAGATTTATTCCTTAGGATTGATTTCAAAAGTAGAATTATATCAAAAATAGAGTTAATGGTTTTCACAGACATAATCAAAAAGATTTGAAAAAGGAAAAACCAGTTTATATTCCCATCAATATAGAAATATAGAGAAGTCTCATTTCATCATAATTTATTTATTTAACATTATTAATTAATTTATTTATTCAACAAATATTGAGGATCTACTCTGTGCTAGGCATGGTCCTAGGCCTCAATGACAAAGTGAAGAGCAAAATGGGCTGTATGAACTAGTAGTGGAGATGGACATGCTTCAAAGAGCCATGTGGGTACATGTAAAATTACAAGAATGAGTGCTGCATAGTGTTATGGTTGTGTATGAACAGGAACACCAGCCTAGTTTGGGGTTGGAGAAGATTTTGTGAGGAGTTTTTAAATTTGCAAATTTGATAGGCAGAAAATCTTATTTGTTTTCTTGTCTTTGATTATTAATAAAGCTGAATATATTTTTCAGGGTTTTTTTTTGAGTTGGAGTCTCACTCCATTGCCCAGGCTAGAGTGCAGTGGCACGCTCACGGCCATCCCAGTGTTGACCCACTGGGCTCTGATGATCTCTCCACCTCAGCCTTCCAATAACTAGAACTACAGGTGCACGCTGCCATGCCCAGCTAATTTTTGATTGATTGTAGAAACGAGGTCTCACCAAGTTGCCTGGGCTGGTCTTGAACCAGTGGGCTCAGGCAATCTACTTGCCTTGTCCTCCCAAAGTGCTGGGATTATAGGCTGAGCCAACAAGCCTGGCCTTCAGGTATTTTAAAACTAGTTTACTTATTTATTTTTTAAAAAATCATCTATTCCTGTCAACAAAGCATTTCCAATCAGGCACTCTGCTTACCAAGTTTTAAAATGTTCCTTAATATGCTCTAGAGTTTTCGCCACCACATAGCTAATGAAGTTGGAATTCTCAGCACTTTCTTCAGCAGGGATTTTGAGTGTTAAATTAGAGGAAGGCAGAATGCTCAAGTCTGTTATTGCTTCATCTTGCTTGGAAAAATTTCCTTCATGAACACTTGGAACTACCTGGAGAAGAAGAAGCATACAGTAGAAGATTATTAAATCCTAGTACCCCTTCAGTCATAATTTAATACTGTATTAGTCAGGATAGCCTAGGTTGTGCTGAGGTAACAGATTAGTCCTAACATTTCAGTGGCTTCATACAACAAAATTTTATTTCTTGCTCATGTAATATGTCCATTACAAGGGCTCCATACCAGTAGACAATGAGGGACCCTGGTTGACAGAGGCACGTCATCTCATAGCTATAGCATATGAATTTAGAATAGAAAATACCGGTAATGTTAAAAACAATTAAATATTGGCCATAACTTTCTTTCTTCTTTTTTTTTTTTGAGTTGGCATCTTACTCTGTTGCCAAGGTGGAGTGCAGTGGCACACTTATAGCCATCCCAGAGACAACCTATTGGGCTCCGGTGATCCTTCCGCCTCAGCCTTCCAAGTACCTGGAACTACAGGCATGCATGCTACCATGCCCGGCTAATTTTGTTTTAGTTGTAGAGATGAGGTCTCACCAAGTTGCTTGGGCTGGTCTCAAACCCATGGGCCCAGGCAATCCACTTGCCTCGGCCTCCCAAAGTGCTGGAATTACAGATTGAGCCCCCGAGCCTAGCCTTAGCCATAACTTTCTTTCTTTCTTTTGAAGGAAGGAAAGATTTATTTAAGAAAAGACCACAAGCTGGGCATGTTGGCATGTGTCTGTAGTTCCAGCTACTTGGAAGGCTGAGGAGCCTTAACTGCCTAAAGGTTGAAAAGCACTGCTAACATTTTTCTCCAATTTTTATTCTTCAAGACAATAATTTTTCCTCATTAAACTAAAAGTCTGTATGTGTGAGGATGGTCAACTATATTGAATTATTTTATCCTCCTCGAGTATGATCTAAAGGAGTAATAGAAGAATAGAGAATCAATAGGGATTAGAACAATGGCTTTCAAAATTTTTTGACTGTGGTCTATAGCAGCAAGTATATTTTACATTATGATTCAAAATACATGCATGTCTGTACACACACAAAGGGAAATGAAATCTTCAGGACATGCATATGACCTATTAAATGCAATACAAACTACTGATTTATCTTTTAATCTTTTTCTATTTTTATGTACTTTTAAAATTTTGTTTTGTAATGTGGTTATTGTGACCTTCTAACCTCATTTTTCAAATGATGCATGATCCACAACTTTGCCCAATGTATTGCAAACACTGTATAGGAATTTGAATAATTAACTTGCTTGCTTTGATTATAAAACAGCTTGCTGGTTGGGTGCCATGGCTCATGCCTATAAACCCAGTAATTTGGGATGCTGAGGTGAGAGGATTGCCTAAGCCCATGAGTTTAAGATCAGTCTGGGCAACGTGGGGAGACCTCATCTCTACAATAAATCAAGAAAAATTAGCTGGGCCTGGTGGCACATGCTTGTAGTTCCAGCTACTTGGAAGACTGAGGCAGAAGGATTGCCTGAGCACAGAAAGTTGAGGCTGCAGTGGCCATGAGCATGCCACTGCACTCCAACCTGGGCAACAGAGTGAGACTCCAACTCAAAAAAAAAAAAAAAGATAGTTCTTATTACTCTTATTTTAAAGGTAGAAAGGCCTAGAATGGTTAAAAAAAGTTTCCAAGCTTACTCAGCTGGTAAGCATCAGAATCAAATGTTGAACTCAAATCGCTTTACTTGTAAATCTTCTCTCTTAAAAACTACATTGGTCAGATTTCTTCAAGGTTGTCTTTATCAGTTATAGCCCTATAACTATAAGCTGAATTAGCCATCTCTGGATTAGAAAGTATGTTGTGTTTTGAGTTGATTTTCTCTATAGAGTTTCTTGTTTTCTAAAGACTGTAAACTGTATTAAATCAATTCATTCTGAATACAATAACACAGTGGAAATATGAGTCCCCTACATCTTTCAAACTCAGATATAATTCATAAACAGACTAATAGAAAAATCAAGGCATACACATGTAATCGCCACATCTGCTTTTGAGTCTTGCTTTACCTTCAATGAATTAAAGATGCCCTCAGTTTCTGAGGTCTGGCTTGCCAGTTCAGACACCCAGCCGAATTGCTCTCTCATCTTCCCCATCAGATAAGCGGTGTCCTCCAAGTGATTCTGGGTCATCTGGAGAATCTGGGCATATTGCTGACTGGATACATTGACCAATCTAAGGGCCTCATCTAATTCTGTGTGTAGTTCAGCTACATCAGGACAGTCTAGCAAAGAAGAAAGTAAATGGTAAAGGAAAAGGTCACTAAGACATGGAGGCGGGTGACATGGGCTTAAATCCTAGCTCATACACTCTCAATTTTGCCATTTCCCACTGAGAGTGTATGCCTATTGTTCTGGAGTAATCACTAATATTGCCTATATCAGTTTCAAACATGATCCAGTTTAATGATTATCTGGTTTTATGTAACAGAAATTGGTTTGGAGACAGAACTTTTTGTTATAAATCCCATGTGCATACGACCTACATTAAGAAAAAAATAATCTGGCAGGGAACAGTGGCTGATGCCTATAATCCCAGCACTTAGGGAGGCCAAGACGGGAGGATTACTTGAACCCAGGAGCTCAAGACCAGCCTGGGAAACATAGTAAGACCTCGTTAAAGGCAGGGTAGCTAGCAGAGTAGATATAGATAGATAAATTTCCCATAGGCAGATTTTAAGAAGCGTTCAGACATTTTAAAAATTACATTTTATTGCAGGCCAAGCTGGCAGCCTACCCTTCTCTCTCCAAAAATCAAAAGAAAACCCCATCAGATGTAAAACTAGGATAGCCCAACCTTTCAATTCATGGTTTAGCATAATAATCACTAAGAATCTTTCAGGTTCCCAGTTGAAGGTGGAAGACCGAATACCACTCCTCAACTGACAAAGCCATTGAAATGATAATAAGGCCATGTTTCAGCTCAGGAACTTGTGAGTTGGAAACATCTGGCCAGTCTCCTGCAAAAGACAATATGGTCAAGAAAAGACCACCCCTCCCTTTCTCTCCTCCCATCAGAAACCAAGAGATGTCAGTCTCTGGAGGACAGTTACCAGGCTCCACCATCTTTGGCATATCAATCATTGTGAAGGTATATCAGGCCCATTATAATAAGCAAAAGAAGGGTTTCTTTCACCTATGCCAGTACTGGCATGTCTTCTTTTTCTTTTCTCTCTTCTTTCTCTAATAAACCTTGTTTTAAAACTTTGCTGGCCACTCTAAAATTCATTTTAGAAACTAACCAAAGAATTCATAATTTTTGTGCTGCACTCCACCTGGCATCACTTATCTCTATATAAATTCGAAAATTAGCCCAGTGTGGTGGTATGTGCCTGTCATTCCAGCTACTTGGGAAGCTGAGGCAGGAGGATTTTCTGAGCCCAGGAGGTTGAGACTGCAGTAAACTGAGATTGTGCCACTGCACTCCAGCCTGGGTGACAGAACCCCTGTATCAAAAAAAAAAAAAAAAGAGAAAGAGAAAAAGAAAACCCATTACCAAAACAGAAAAGCCCCTACTATGTCTCTTCCACACATATCCTTTTTATCCTCTCAAAAGGATATATATTTTGAGTTTGGATATATATTCTAGTTTGGATATATATTCTGTGGTAAAAATACAGAAAGAAGTAATTAGTAATTAGTATAGGAAAATAAGAAAAGAACCACACAGTGAATCCACTTAAAATTGGGACCAGAAATGTATAGTAAATAGTGAAATAGTGAATAGTGATTTTGTATTTTAGAAAATATCTTGTATTTCTCAAACATGAGATTATAATTATAGCTATGTGCTCAGTCTTGGAACAAAGAAAATCAAATGTACTGGAAAGAAAGAAATAGTTGATATGCCAATGAGATGCTTGAGTGAAACTATTTTTGTAAGGGTTCTGTATATTATTCTGTTATATATACAACCTTGTAACTGTGACTTAAAAAATGAATACTTGCATAATATGAATCGACACATCAGACACTTTTTTCATCCTCAAAAGACCTGTATGAAGTAAATATCTTATCTCCATTTTCCAAATGATGAAACAGGCTGAGAGAGTCACCTAGTCAGCAATTTAAGAAAGACCCTTATCTGCTCTAGGTAATAATAAAACAAAAAAGTGGTGTAGTTTATAATCAATGCTATTTAGAGCAATGCTTTCCAAACCTTTTCCTACCATGATAGATTCTAGACGTCAAATTTTCCTAATACACCTTCTAAGGTGGGGTAGATTCAACCATGGGAAATAAAAATTTGGGCCCAAAAGGGATATGGAAAAGTAGATGAGTCCATTTACATAATGAACCCTGCTTTCCAAAGAAGCCCAATTGCTGAGGTGGGGAGGAGCTGGGAGGAAAGAACGATGTGGGAGATAGAGAGAAAGTGCAATCCTTGTTCTCATTCTGTGGCCCAGGTACCCAATCCTCTCATAAGCCCTGGGAATTCAGGCTGATGTTTAAACACAAGGAGAAAGGGAGTGTTGTTGACTCAAAAATGTTTAGTAGCCACCCAAATATTGATCCAATTTAATAGACTCTGTTACATTCCATTTTTTGTTTTACTGAACAAAAACATTAGAGTGAGTACCTTACTACTTTTGAGTTGCAAAGCATGTCAATGCTTAGAACTTCTGAAATGCATTAATTTGTACAATGGAAAGACCTATGTCATTAATAAAGAGTATTAATCTGTGAAGTACAGGTTCCTCGAACAGGGTGATTCACTAGAAGTAATACTATATTAAAAAGTCAAACAAGTTTTAGAGCTGTCTAATAATTTATTTATTTTTTATTTTTTATTTTTTTTTAGTTGGGGTCTCACTCTGTCGTCCAGACTGGAGTACAGTGGCCGCTCCCGGCCACCGCAGCCTCGACCTGCTGGGCTCCGGCGATCCTTCCGCCTCAGCCTTCCGAGTAGCCGGAATTACAGGCACGCGCTACCACGCCCGGCTAATATTTTAATTTTATTGTAGAGATGAGGTCTCGCCTGCCCAGGCGGGTCTCGAATCTGCGGGCTCAGGCAATCCACTCACCTCAGCCTCCCAAAGGCGCAGGATTACAGGCTGAGCCAGCGAGCCCGGCTATTAATTTTTAATATCATATATACATACATGAACAAGCAGTCCCCAACTTACCATGGTTCAACTTGTGATTTTTCAGCTTTAGCATGGGTTATTGAGATATAAGTCAAGGAACATCAGTATGTTTGTGGTAAAAATACAGAGTCTAAAAAAATTCTTAATCTTGAAATTCATGGTAACCTTTATTAGTATTATGATGTATATGATGTATCTAATGATGCTTTTTAAAATTTGCTTGACCAAAATTTAGTCAGCTTTTTTTTTTTTTAAACAGAGAAAACCCAAGACACAGTCAGAGTATCAGAAAAAAATATATAATAAATAAGTTTACATTTATTTGGAATTATATTCTAATGATACTTTAAAAGCCAATATGGGCCAGCCATGGTGGCTCATGCCTGTAATCTCAGCACTTTGGGAGGCTGAGATGGGAGGATAGCTTGAGTCTAGGAGTTTGAGGCCGCAGTGAGCTATGATCTCACCACTGCACTCCGATTTTGTCAACAGAGCGAGACACTGTTTCAAAAAACAAAAAAAAAAAAACACAGAAAAAACAAAGCCAATATGCTTTTCTATCTTATGTTGTTCAAGATCATAACAATTCTTTTCTCCCTTTTCTCTATACAGCTAAATTTGCTGCAAATTGCTTACTGTTAGAGTTTTGAGAAAAAAAGCAAATGGAGGATAAAGGAGTTTTTGCTGGCTGTACTCGGCTCTTTTTGTAGATGGAAATACTACCCCAGCAGTCTTTTCATTGATGGAAGTCAAGGGCACAAGAATTATTATTTTGCAATTAACAAATTATAATCTGAGCTTTTCTGAACTTGCTTTATAGAATAACTTTGTCAGAACTCAAAGATTATCTTGCATCCTTTACCGATTACTCAATTGAGCTATAGACAGTATAAAAACTTGCACAAAGTAACAAGCTAGTAAGGTAGCAGAATTTACTGAGTATTAATTTGTGTTCTTCTTACTGTATCTTCTAACCTCCTACTCCAAGCCGTTAGCCACACTTTCTAAATGTTCTTCCTTTTGGGCTTTGGTGAGATAAAATGCAGAAGCATAGGGATGGAAAGCTCTTGTTTCTTGTGAGAAATTTGCCATCTGGCCCTGGTCATGTGGGAGAGGTGACTTTATTAAAGAGAAGGCAATGACATGAGGGGAGGGACAGAGGAAAGAAAGATTTATTGCTTAGAGAATGAAGGACAAAGACTACTGTACCGTCTTCTGCCATTTCACTTGTGATTAGTGATATCATTGCCTACTAATCTTTCTTTGCATTATATATAATGTTATATAGGCCATTTTCCCTATTTAAATACTCATTTGTTAACTAGCCCACAATTACAAAGAGCAAATGACACTTCCGAGAAAATATCTCACTTGACTGAACATGGGTTTTCACAATGGAAAGTTTTCCTTCTCTGGTGGGTCTTCGGTTTCTTTGCGGCAAGGGAGTAGGAGTTGCCCTAATGTTCTTGCTGTTTTTCTCTTTCATACATACTAGTGTTTGGTATTTAATCACAAAAAATGTCACAAGAACAATTAGAGAATTAAAGAAAGTGAAAGAATGGCGTACTTTGAGACAATAAAAAATGTGTAAACCTCCACTGGGCACCCCCAGATGGAAGTGAGCATGGGAAAAAGCACTGGAAAGGAAGCAAAGCAAATGAATCCATACTGCCCATGAGAGTGAGGTCTTGTTTTCTGTCCCGAATACTACTGAAACCCTGAGAAAATAGGAATGATTTACCTTCGGATAGGTAATCCTGACATTTTTGGCATCTTTTGTGAAATTCGAAACACCCTGACAAATTCTGGCCAAGTTCCCCACACAGTTCTCTGTCCTGTACAGGTGACATCTTTGACATCAGGCCTCCGTGGTCAGAATCTGCAAAGAAGACAGCATTTACACATTAGTGTCATCAGAGTTCGTTCTTCAAAGAAGTGGAAATAATGTCACTGCTTTTTCTTACCAATGCTTTCAAAGTCTTTCTCCTGTATTCAAACACAGGAGTGCAGGTTGGTGTAACATTTCCTAGGACAATTTAGAATTGCATGTACCCTTGAATCCAGGAATCTCATTACTAGGAATTGATTAGTAGTATACATACACACAAACATATGAATGCATGCAATTTTATGTTCTAGGAAGAATTATGAGGAACTACCATAGTAGCTGTCTTTTGGAAGAGGGACTTGATGGGGTGAGAGAAGATAGCTTTCATTTATTTTGTTTTTTGTATATTTGAAGTATTTTAAAGTTAGTGTGTCTTATTTTTATCATTATATTTCTGATGTCAATAGGAATAAGTAAATAGACGATTGTGAGCCACCTTTTTCTTTGATCTTTTCTATATTTAAAAAACCTCTAATGATTATTTTCATTTTTGAAGATTATAATTAAGAAGTACATTAGCGTTCTAAAGATAATGGAAATGTTTGTTTCCTAAACTCAATGACAGGTATGTATTTTATTACTATTCTTTTTTTGCATTATATATAATGTTATAAAACATTTATAAAATGTTATAAACAGTGAGAGTCAAAGATTTAGAAAAATACCTAGAACAGATCAAATTTTGAGAAATAATTTTTTCTAGATAAATTAACAATCCACATAAAAGTGTTAATGTAAAAGAGAAGTCTACTCAATAGAAGATTGGCAGTTCCTAATTGAGTTGTTTGACATTTAGGACAATTTTATTATTGATTTATAATCTGATGATTATAGTAAATCCTCAACTTTTAAAATGAAACATTTTATTTTGTGATAAATGTGAGGCCAATAGTTTAAAAACAATGTAGCACTGTTAGATGGACCGGTGTGTAAAGCGATCATCTCACAAAAATGTCACAAGAACCACTAGAAAGTCATTTCCTCCCAGATGCTCTCCTGGACACTCTTGTCTTCCCCACAGAACGCTCTCTGAAGAGTTCTACTGTGGAATTCTTCCCTGCTCTATGTACTGTTTGCTTTCTTATCTTTCCCCTTAGACGCTGAGCCTCTTGAGGGAAGGGACTCCATTTTGCCATTTTAATGTTGTCATGCTTCTGTACCATCTTCTGCCATTTCATTTGTGATTAGTGATATCATTGCCTAATTAATCTTTCCTTTCTTTAGACTCGGCTCACAGAAGTCAGGGGCTGTGTTCTAACCATTGTTTTATTCCTAGCATTTAGATTAATAGATCAGAGAAGGCAAATTCCAGGTCCATATAACACCAATCACCCAACTGTGCCCGTAGCATAAGCTATCTCTTCACTCAGTCAAACCATGACGGAGCCTCAGAACTCTTCTAGGTGGCTACTTGCTATCTGAGATAAATCATCTACTATCTCCACTTGCTTACTTCCCCCCATGGGAAAATTAAAGTCAACATATACTCTCTAAAAGGCAGGATTAGAACCAGATCTTCGGGCACCCAGCGCTGTGCCAAGCTACAATAGAACATGATCCCATCTGTTCTTTCCAGGGATTTATAAGACATGTGACAATTGCAAGAGCTATTTTATTATCCTTCAACAGATTCAGGAACTGAGGTCCGGAAAGACCAAGATAGGAAAAAAAAAATTTTCCATTTGAAGACTAAAGTGAAATTATACTCAGTAAAATAAAAAGTAACACTAAACATCAAGCTATATCAGATTTTTTTTATTGCCCCCTTTTTAAAAATGGTATTCCATAATTTAGTTTTAACTATTTTTCTAATTTTGACTCTTAGGATGATCATGACCAATAAGACCAACCATAAAGGTTACCAGAAACCTAGAACTTGCTCAGTAAATGCTGGACCTTGTAATTGACAAGGGACATGTATTTTAGTTTCCTATTGCTGCTATAACAGATCATTACAAACTTAGTGACTTGAAACAACACATTCATTATCTTACAGTCTTCCAGGTCAGAGGTCTGCAGTGGATCTCACTGGGCTAAAATCAAGGTGTCAGCAAGATTGGCTTTTTTGTGGATGCTCTAGATAGAATCCATTTCCATACCATTTTCAGATGCTAGAAACTACCTACATTCCTTGGCTCATGCCTCTTCACCTGTCTTCAAAATTAACAAAGTAGGGGCCAGGTTCTTCTCTTGCTGACATCTTTACTTATTCTTTTCTGCCTCCTTCTTCCACTTTTAAAAACCTTGTGATTACAGTGAACCTACCCTGGCAATCCAGAATAACCTCTCTATTATAAAGTCATCAATTTAACCTTAATTTCATCTGCAACCTTACTTTTCCTTTGCCATGTAACATGGATTCACAGGTTCTGGGGATTAGGGTGTCAGTATCTTTGGGGAGCCATTATTCTAACTACCACAAAGGGCAAAGCTCAAAATGTCAACTCAGTAAGTAGATTTTCTAGGGGCAATAGGCTTATTTCTTACTGACCACCGTCCAGAAAAGTGATGGAAATTAAATAGAAATGCCCTATAGCCCCTGCCTGACTATTCTTGATGAATAGCTCACAATCATTCATCTGGAAAGAGAAACTCCTCTGTTGAACTTGCTGCTAGGGGAGGGATATCAGAGAAAGAATAAAGTGTAACAAAGGCATTTTTGTTTACTGGTTTTATCATTTGGTTTGGTTTTGAGTTGGGTTCTCACAACCTGGTCGCCCAGGTTGGAGTACAGTGGCACTAACACAACTCACTGCAGCCTCAACTTTCTGGGCTCAGGCAGTCCTGCTGCCTCATCCTCCTGCCTCAACCTCCTGAGTAGCTGGGACTACAGGTGTGCATCACCACATTTGGCTAATATTTTAGTTTTTTGTAGAGACCATGTCTTGCTATATTGCTCAGGCTGGTCTTGAACTCCTTAGCTCAAGTGACCCTCCCGCCTTGGCCTTCTAAAGTTCTGGGATTACAAGCATGAGCCACCATGCCCAGCCTTGTTTGCTGGTTTTTTAAAAAAAATTACACTTATGGCCAGGTGTGGTGGCTTAAGCCTGTGATCTCAGTACCTTGGGAGGCCAAGGCAAGAGGATTGTCTGAGCCCAGGGGTTTGAGACAAGCCTGGGCAACTTGGTAAGACCTCATCTCTACAATATATCAAAAAATTAGCTGGATGTGGTAGTGCTCACTTGTAGTTCCACCTACTTGGAAGGCTGAGGCAGAAAGATTGCCTGAGCCCAGCAGATAGAGGCTGCAGTGGCTGTGAGCGTGCCACTGCACTCCAGCCTGGACAACAAAAATAAAAATAAAAATTGCATTTATAGGGGTTGTATAGCTAGGTTATAACCAAGCTGGAGGTAGTGCCAAGGGGCAGGGTGCACGTGAGACAGCTGAGTATAGGGGCTGGTTCCCAGCTGGGTAAATGAGAAGAAAGCTAGGAACTTATATTCTTAGCTGATGCATGGAAGGGAATTGCAGTGGTTGGCAAGTTATTTAGATTTGATGTGTCTGAATCACTACTAATCTTGTGCACATTTGAATATAGCAATGCATGGGCAAGGTTGCTACACAATGCATGAGCAAGGCTGCTAATGAACACATTCTGAATATTATTCCAAGACATTTAACATCTATGGGGGTGCCAAAAAAATGTATACACATTTTAAGTATAATGTTCACTCAAAAGATGGCATTAATCTGACGAATACTAGCTTCACCACAAGACTGGCAGGACAGTCAAAGAAAATGATGGAAGAACAGTTGAGTGAACATTATACTACATATTGCTACCAAAATTTAATTCAACTTTGAAAAGTAATACACAAATAACATCTCTAAAAAAATGTGTCCACATTTTTTTTGGCAACCCCTGTATTTATGAAGCCAGGCAAAAATTATTTGATACCATCCAGAATGGATAGATAGAGTCTATTGCCTGATGTTTCTGCTGAATATTTGAATGGAATACTAGACAAACACCTGACTTACAAGAAAAGTTCACCTGACTCTGAAATAGAACCCAGCAACTCAAGTGATGATGACTGTTGTCTACTCATGGAGTAATGGGCCTGGAGGAATGTAGTGCATTATTTCCTGGGCTTTAGTTTCTGAAATATGTAAGGTAAGACCCTCCTACACAGAAGCCAGTTATGCAATATCATGGTAGTTTAGAGAATCGAATTCAGATGTTGCCAACTACAGATTATATAATTGGAAAATAGTCAGCTAGCAGGAGCCCATTTTATGTTTTCTCCCAAAAGGAAGCAGCCTTGAACTTGGCTTAGTGGTCAATGCACTAAGGAAAAGCAGATCCTACACCTGGCCCACATGGCAATTCTAATTTCTGAAATGCTATGTCTAAGCTATTCCATAGAAACCTGTAAAAGATTCTCTCTTACCTGAAAACATAAAGCAGCATTGTTTTTTCCAACATGGAATATTCTTTAGGTATGTTTAGTATTGTTAGAAGGCAATTCTTCTCTAATATTTCTGTAATTTGGGGTTTATGAGCATTTTCTATGGTTTTGTTTACAAACTCCATGATTTAAGGAATCATAGTAATGATTCAGAGGAGGTTGTGGTGAGCACTAAGTTGCTCTGGCTATAGGTGAGACCAGATTTCTTCACAAACTAGGAATTGAGGATTCTAGACCGATTTTAAAGAAATTTCCTGATGTTCAAGCACAATCGAGCTGAGCATTTATTGAGCTTTCATAAAGGAGAGAACTGTTTTTTCAAGTTCTCAACCTAATAGCATTTTCTTCTTTCAACTTTGGAAATTTGCTCTAAAAAGAGAGAATAACATCAGAGTTCTTCACAATAATGGAAGAAGGATGATGCTTGGCAGACTTCAAAGATTTTTTTAAGAGGCTCTGAAACTTAGATTAACTGTTCATGGTGTCTTCAGGAAATGCCGTACAATAACTCAGAAAAATCGACTATTGCCTAAGCAAAACAAAACTTGACTTTAGTATAGACACCGAAGTAAAAGTAACTTTTTAATACTTGCCTTTGTCTTGTTTTGGTAAGTCCTCTATTGCATTCAGTGTCTTAGTAATTGTTTCACTGACACTTTCATAAATAGAGAGACTAAAATTACGAAACAGCTGGAAGAAGTCGGGCAGGTCCCAACTTTGCACAAGATCTGCTTTTTTTGTTGGCTCTTTGGATAAAGCTGGAAAAGAGTAAGGCCCATTTGAGTCTGTATCTGACATGAAATATGATTGAAAAGCCTGATCGAATTCTTGCTGCATCTGTTTGAAGATGTTAAAACTCCTGTTAAAGAGAGATGTCACATCCACAGCCAACTGGTTGAACACAGCCTCCATTTCGGTCAATTGTGCATCTTCTTCAATGAACTTTTTATTGTAGGGGAGGTCCTTTTCATTATCTTCATGGAAAGAAAATAGAAATTGATGTATCTTCCTGAAAAACTGTTCAATCTGTGGGGTGGGGTACAGAAATGGAATAAATAAAAAATTTACTTTCTCTGTAGACCATTTCTTATTGCAAATTTTAAAGGCGACATAGCAACTGGGCAAGGTAGAAAAGATGACTGAATTTAAAATAATTTATTAATACTTAAAAAAAATTTATTTTTGAACTGGAGTCTTGCTATGTTGCCCAGGATAGAGTGCAGAGGCACGATCACAGCTCACTGCAGCCTCAGCCTCCTGAACTCAGGTGATCCTTCTATCTAAGCCTCATGAGTAGCTGGGACTATAGGCATGCATCCTCACCCCTGGTGAATTTTGTGATTTTTTTTTTTTTTTTTTTTTAAGAGACAAGGTCTTGCTATATTGCCTAGGCTGGTCTTGAATTCCTGGCTCAAGTGATCCTCCTGCCTCAGCCTCCCAAAGTGCAGGGGATTATAGGCGTGAGCCACCATACCCACCCCCTCCTCAAAAAAAATTGTTTTTATTTTTTGAGAAAGGGTTTTGCTCTGTTGGAGTACCGTGGCATGATTTTGGCTCACTGCAGCCTTAAACTCCCCGGCTCAGACGATCCTCCCTGCTCAGCCTCACAAGTAGCATGCACCACCATGGCCAGCTAACTTTTTTTACTCTTTTGTAGAGATAGTATCTTGCTATGTTGCCCAGGCTGGTCTTGAACTCTTGGCCTCAAGTGATCCAAGCCACTGTGCCTGGTCTATTAACACGCTTTTACTTGACTTTGACTATGGAAATAGAATCTAAAATTTCTTCTAGTTTACATTTGCCCACCCATGGCCTAAAACGTTTTCAATATTGTTGACAAGCTACAGCCTGATGTACTGGTGACAGTTGGTATGCCATTACCCACAGAGCACCAGGGAGATTGTCTGAAAACTGTGAAGAAAGCTCTTGCCTTTCACTTCCATCTTAGTTCTTTCCTTTTTTGTTTTTGTTTTTTTAGGCAAGTGTCATTAGTATCTTTATACTCTTCCTCATCTCACAAATTAGTCTATGAAAAAGAAAAAATCAACACATCTACACTGAACTATAGATACCAGATACAGCTTAGTAGGCTACTTAGGGGTGGTAACATATTAACAGTGATCAAGGCCCTCCTTTACTATAGTCAAAGGAATGAGGCTCTAATTGTAGAATTTCAGAAATTACTCAGTGAGAAAAGATTCTTTCAGTAGTCAAACTATGCTTTCCTTCTTCTATGTGACACCTAAGTCAAGGTAGACCATAGTTACCCTTATATGAAAGTGATATGGATATGTTGAGTACTGTTGACTATTGAATATTCCTGCTGTAGCATCATTCCTGTGCTACTGCTGTTCAAAGAATTCTCCAGAAATGTTTAGAGGTCTTTCTCTCTTTCTCTCTTTCTTTGAGTTGGAATCTCACTCCATCGCCCAGGCAGTAGTGCAGTGGCAGCCTCAACCTGTTGGGCTTTGGTGGTCCTTCTGCCTCAGCCTTCCAAGTTGCTGGAACTACAGACACACACCTTCAAGCCCAGTTAATTTTTTTGTGATTTATTGTAGAGACGAGGTCTCACCATGTTGCCCAGGCTGGTCTTGAAACCCTAGACTCAGGCAATCTTCTTGCCTCAGTCTCCCAAAGTGCTGGGATTACAGACTGAGCCACTGCACCCAGCCAACTCCTGTCTTTCTCAGAAAGTAATCTGGGTGGATTGTTTGCCTCTCCCTGTGCCAGCTTCTGTTTACTTGACTCCATCCACAAAAACAAAATGTTAAAAGCTCCAAGAAATTTTCATAAGACCACACAACTGACCCAGTTGGGAATGGCTCTCAGTCTCCTGACTTAAGCTGGTGCTCATTATATTATATTCTGGTATATTAGTGAGTGACAGTGGCTCTAAAAATAGAGCAGATGCAATTAATAGTGGCAGCAAATTAACTTGGTGCATTCATTATCTTAGTAGTTGCTTCCTTCGTAATTGAGTATGGCATTGCCAAGCCAGGAACATACTCTAATTAGTGTGTGCTCTAATATGGAGAGTGAAATGCCACTCGATTTCATATTCAGCTCACTTCTTGAAGGGGGAGGGGAATACAGGCCAGTTGGAGCCTTTTATGGAGCAGAGCACATCCTATTCAGGTCACTGCTCTCTGTTATTTCCTCTGCCCAGAAGATAGCCAAAGGGGACAAAAAAGAAAACATACCAGTCCTACAGGACATACACAAATAGGGCAAAAGGGGACGTGAAGGTGTGTGTGTGAGTGTGCATGCTACATATAGGAGGGCAAACACATTGAAGGAGAGATTCAGGAGGCAATGTCTTCAAATATTTGGCATCCAAGGAAAAAAAATTAAAGCAGATTGAAATCATGGACTGCAATACTCTGATTCAAAATGCAATTCAATAAACATTTATTGGATGCCTGCAGTGCTCAAATGAAGATAAATAAGATATGATCCTTGCCCTCAAAGAGCTTACAATCTAGTGGGAACATGTTCACAAATAACAAATAGAAGGCTAGAAAGTCATGGTATTTCTAAGAGAGATAAAGTGTCCACTGAATGGATGTTCTAACTTATAAACTGTAAATACACAGGGTGGTACATGCACATTAGTGTTTGATTCTAGATTGCAAAGGCCAATATCAGATCAGTCATTTATATTCTAAATATCAAGATAAATTAATAAAAAGTAAACTGAAGTAGGTGCCTTAAGAACCATAAAATCTTGAACTCTGTTTTTCTCTTACCGTATTTTTCACAGAGGACCAACTAGGTTGACAGGTTGTGTAATATCTCATACAGTTACTTTCCAGGCAAGACCTGCACTCATCCCAGGAATCTGCCAGAGACACCTGGCATAGCCTTTCTCCTTCTTCCAGATGTTCTTGAACTTCATTCAGAAGTTTCAGGGCCTCCTAATAAAAAGCAGAAACAAAAAGGCTATTTCCATCTCATGATCTTATGTGTAACTTAGTTGGTTTCACCCGTTGAAATGTGCATACTGTAACTACGTCTTCATTCTTTCTCATTCAGGGCCCTAGATCTCCAATGCTTACTGTTTAAGAAAAGAGCACTGTTTGATCCTCACTGAAAACTGCAAATCTTATTCATCCATTCATTCATTCGAGTATTTATTGAGTATTGGTTACGTGACAGGCGTTCTACTTGATGTGGATGAGTCAGCAACAAGAATGCCATCCTTGATCTGAGGAACGACTGATTTACCGGCCGACGTGCCTGTCTTCATGTCTAGTCCGCGGGGAGTGTGAAGAGTTGACTTTAAGGTTTATAAAGCTCACACAATTCATTTTTTTCATTTATGCTACCTTTAACGGTTGTAAGTTCTGAAACACTGCAAGAAGGTGCGATTCTTGTGTACCAACTCAAATTGTCCATTGAGTTACCTTCTAATCGCAGAGATGCAGTCTGGAGCATCTCCATTCTCTTTGTCCGTATCGCGGGCACTTGCTCCCTCTTGTGGTGCTTGCTGTACTTGGCTAGGTCCTGCCCGGGTGGTGAGGCGCCCCGGAGCTGGGGCACATGTCCCCGAGAGCCTCGACCCCGCCGCGAGAGTTCCCCACAGGTGCAAAGGACAGGCCTTTCTTTTTTTGCCCCTGCACAGACCCCTGGCTTTCCTGTAAGTGTGGGCTTCTGACGCCCAGCTCCCTCCATGCCTGAGATATCGTTCAGGGGTATAAGAGGGTGTAATGGATCCGTCCGTGGGAAGACCTCCTCAGAGCTGAAAGGCAGGTCCTTTAAATGAAAAAAACGCACGAGGGAGGTACGTTTCTGTACTTAAAACCGATGTATTGTGCATATTTACCCAATAAAAACGAAAAGGAAATGACCCCTTCTTGGTGTATTCAGCCTAAAGAATCACCGGGCACTGACAATCTTCCACATCTTCTCTGCCTGGCTGGGAATTTTCACGTGCTCTCACTGTAGCGTTCTGGTGTTAAGCCAGGTCACATTTGCTATGGCCCACATAAGAAAAATGGCAGGGTCCCAGCCTGCTAAATGCACGTTGTGACCCAGACAGGGCGGACACGTACTTGGGCTTTGCAGAACAATTTTGGAGACTTATAGCTTCTTAAAATGGTTGTTTCACCATGGCAAGCAACAATACCTCCCAGATTTTCTCAGTCAGTCCCAATTTTAAATATTCTGCTCATTGTCCTCATAAGAAAACATCCTAATATTCCCAATTACAGACTATGCTCACTGTGTACCCCCGGGCACATTACTTAATATCGCTAAGACTCACTCTCCTCACTAGCAAATCGGAATAATAGCATCTGCTTCTCAAGGTTTTTGGATTAGGTGAGTGAATCAAGCAAGGCACCTAGCACATGATTATAGTTAGTAACTCTCAGACTTTCTTCCGTCCACTGCGCAGAAGCATAGCAAAAACCAGTTACCAAATCACAGGTCCCAAGTTCTGGAAGTGAAATGTTGCCAGGCAGGAAATAGATCTCTGGGTTAGGAATGTCCTGCTTGTTCCTTTTGTTTATGCTAAATATTTCACCCATTGACAGATCTATGTCTGGAACTCTATTCCATTAGTTCACAGCTTATCAAAAATACTATATAAGTCTGGTGTCAAGGCTGGCACGGCATTCTGCACCTGTAATCCCAGCTACTTGGGAGCCTAGGAGTTCATGACCAGCCTGGGCAACATAGCAAGACCCTGTTTCATTGGAAGGAAGGAAGGGAAGGAGGGAGGAAGGGAGGGAGGAAGTAAACCAAACATACCTGGTGTGAGGGCCAAATTACTCTATGCTGCTCTAGGGTTTCCTACTTTAGTAAAAGTAAATTTCAGAAGTTCTCACTCAATATTAATAGGGAGGGGATGATAAAGGGAACAGTGCTGATGCTGGGTCACTGGGATGGGTGAGACTCAGTACTAGGAAGATGGCAGTGCCAACATGATATTTGCCAATTCATAATTCATCTGAACTGGCCTATATTCCAGTTTAAAGTAATTTTAGGGAGGGATACTTGGTGTTAAACAGGTTCTTTTTTCAATTAACTTTCTAATTGAGCACCCCAAACTTGAGTATAATTCAATGAATTTTATACAATAAATGGATTCTTAAGAATAAATAGAAAGTCTCCTAGTTGCTTGGATTCTTCAGGGTCAGAACTAAAACTAATATTTGCTTATTTGACCCGTCCTGAACTGGTATATTCTCGTGATAGTACTATACCCTATTTCCTTTGTCAGACAGCTCAGAAAGTGAGAAAAACAAAGTCACTGGGTCTCACATGCACACTTTTACTTCCTCTCGGTTCATTCATTCATTACTGTGTTAATTAACATCTCAAATCCCAGTTTTCTTAGCTGTAAAATGAAAGTAACGGTCCACCCAGATGTTCGAAGCGTCCATGTGATTATGTGTTTTGTAAAGGGTCTATTACACATCAAGTGTCACTATTCCCAGATGGCCAGACTCACAGGCCCACCAGTGAAGAACCCAGCTGGAGGGGCTTCCCCATTTTCCTGATGAGGAGCTATTTGGGTTTCCTCAAAATCTTTTGATTTTTGCCAAAAGGGAGGAGGGTTTGCAGCTGCTGATCAGGCAAGATGCTCCTTTCCTTGCCAGGAACCCTGCCTGACTCAGGGCAGTAGGTGTGGCTGCAATATCAACCAGTCTGGTGACAGGCTGACACACAGCTCTGGCGTCAGGCTGTCACTCTGCCCCATTTCTGTTGCTTAATAGACTCCCAGAGGCCCACTGCTCAGAAGTAAACAGAAGCAAGCAGCTATCTGGAATTTGGTGGCCCCACCTTTATAAGTATATAGATATTGGTAGAAAATATTAGAACCTCTACTTGCATTTTTTTATCAAAAAAATTGGGGAGGAAATGGGGCATTGTTCAGTATGTATAGACTTTCTGTTTTTGCAAGATGAAAAGAATTCTGGAGATTGATTGCATAATAAGGTGACTGTACTTAACACTGCTGATTGGTACACTTAAAAGTAGTTAAGGCCGGGTGCATGGTGGCTCAGCCTGTAATCCCAGCTCTTTGGGAGACCGAGGCCAGAGGATTGCCTGAGGCCGGGGGTTCAAGACCAGCCTGGGCAACTTGGTGAGACCTTGTCTCTACAATAAATCACAAAAAAATTCAGTGAATTTTTTTTTTTTTTTTTGAGATTTTTTCCAACACATTTGCCCATTTCGTGATGGGTGATTTACAAGTGCACCTGCCCACACTGCGATGAGTGTTCAGCAGTGAGCGCCCCACCCTCATTCCTGTGACATTTTTTTGTTTCCCCAGGATGCAAAAAGTCCTCAAGGGGAAACGTTTTGCAGATGTGGAAGGAGTGAAACAAAAACGGCAGAAGCACTAAAAGCCATCCAAACTGACGAGTTCAAAAACTGTTTCGAGCAGTGAAAAAATGTCTCCACAGCTGTGCTGCATCAAACAGAGAGTACTTTGAAGGTGACTGACGTTTAAACATGTAAGAATAAAGACACAAATTTTTTAAATAAATAAATTCCTGTTTTTAAGTGTCCCCTCTCTTAAAATGTGTTCTCTATTGGTAAAATGCATAGCCTGAGGTATAGCTATTAAGTAAAGCTATTTGAATTTTTAGAAATAGGTAGTCTGATGTATTAAGTACACACTGGCACTCTCTTGAGGTGTATATGTCAGACGTCACATGTGGTCAACAGTATCGATGCTAGGAAAGTGAGGCCCTTCCACATTCAGAAGCTCCCTCCCTCCGTTTGCTTGCAGCTGGTTGCAATGAACTGCCATTTAAGGGGACTTAGGTGGACTGATGGATTTTATTATCTAGTTTTAACTAAACTAACCTTCATTTAAATGGTTAGGAAACTTACAAAGATTCTTGGAAAAAAAAACACCTGGCAGAATTTAAAAATGTGAATAATTTAAGCTCAAGTGGAAGCAAATGGCAGAGCTGACAGGTCATCCGTATGAGCTCTTTATTGGCCTTGTGACAAGATAAAACTATGATGATCTAATAAGAACTGGCAAGTCAGCTAAAAGTTTCAAAAGAGCTAGAAAATTATTTGAAATGTGGACTACACCCACCCAAGCTAATGATGAATCTCATCCTAAATGTATATTGTACCTTCAGATATTAAGCATAGCAATTCATGTATCTAATTTGTAAATAAATTAATATGCATGTATTTAGGAGTGAGTGCTAGCAAATTTTTTAGTAACAGGGATGAGAGATAAAAAAAACTTTGGAGATCACTGATGTAGCCAAAAACTCCTCGAATACTTTTGACTCAATATTCTAACTCAGAAGGGACTAAGAATAATATATTTTTGAGAAAGCAGCACTTCTCAAACATGAATCTCCCAAATTCCTAGGTCTGGAGTCCTGCAAATGCCTATTTTTATAAATATGTTCTTAGAGGAAATTTAAAGTTTCCTTCAAACTTTTCCTCTAATAAAAACAGCTTTCCAGAAAATTTATTATAAGAAAAAATAAGTAATTTATCAATTGCAATATTTATGGTCCAGATCTGTTTTTAAAAGATAATATTTTCAATAACTGTACCTGCTTTTCTTCCCTGCATTTCTTCAGGGTTTTCATTAGATTGGTATGTTCCTCCTCTTTTCTTTCCATCGTGATCTTCATCTGCTTAACACCAATCAAAGCCTTCTTCACCTCTTCATCTCCATCTATCTCCCCTGCCTCAGAAAAACCTAAAAGACATATTGCAATTTTTTCTTTGAGATCTGGTCAGATTACAAAACAACGAGTTCACCAATCTTAAATGTCCCTTAAAGAGTGGCTTAATTGTTCTTTTATAGCCTCATACTCTGAAGCCACATTGTAATGAATTAGCTGTCAGCTGCCACATGGACCCAGCTGCCACATGGACGATACCTTCTGTTCCTCACTTGTGAGCTCCTAAACAAATCAGAGTTCATTTAACCTCATTCTTGTCATTTTCCTCAAGGCCTGTTTTCATTTAACAATTTTTTTCTTTAAGACTCAAGTGTGTTTATATTAGAGAAATTTTCAAATTTTCTTCACAAACAATTTATATTAAGCGCCCAGCTGGAGACCTCAAACACATTGAACAATTTCTCTTTCTTTCAGCTTCAATTACCTTTCAAGGAGGCATGAAGCCTAGGAAACATCTCATGTAATACGAAATTCCTTAATAACCCAGTGGATGTCTCTTCCATACTTATAATAAGCCCTTAGTGGGCATGAGATTCAATGTCATTCTCTCTTCACAATAGCCAATGTGGCCTCCTAACCTGCTTTTCTTTGCCTCTGAATTTACAGACCCCCAAATCAGCTGCATTTTGGCTAATTTATTCTTCCAAGTGTTAAGTACCCAAAGCATATATCACCAAGCAAAGGTCGCAAGTTAATGACCACGGAACAACCAGATTCATTGTAATTACAAACCATTCTTTCACTAGCTTAAGAATAATTGCACAGATGACTCTAAGTGTTTAAATTTTTTAAAAACTAGAAAAGTATTTCACTGTTCATTAAAGCCGTGCTGAGATGACACCAACCATCTGGATGATACAAAAAAATGCAGTCTAGAAATTGGCAAGTTTTATCTACACGATACAAACATCTGGAAATGTGAACACTCACAGAGACGTGATTGGAATTTTCTATTTTTATCCAGATGTTTGGTGTCGTGACGACTTGGTTTAAGTGCCTGGAGAACGTTTCACCGTGAAACGTTGTGAGCATGGTTATCTCTCAATTGTAACTCGCTCTGAATGGCAGTGGGACAGCCAACACGCAAACAGGCCACAGCACAGATAAGAAACCAAACATACTCTTCAGGTTTCCATTGATGGCAGTTTTGTCCTTCCAAGTAGGTGCACAGTGACAGTCTTTCAACCATAGCAGATACACAATAAACACCAAGAGTGGCGGCTTCATGTTCCCGCTGTTACTGCAAAAGAAAAATAAACCCGCATCAAATGCCTTTCATTAGGTTAGTTTCTGTCAGCATCAATTGAAAACACATGGCACTCCAAAGCATTATTCTGTCAGATTTTTTAAAATGACTTTAGACAACTTATGCTAATGTGACTGTGACATAAGGAAGCTTGAAATGTAAGTTAAACAAGCAAACAAACTTAAGTCCCTATTTGGTTTACATTCTTTATGACAGTTAAATAAGGTCACCATCTGAGGTACTTGAAATTCCAGGCAATGGAGAGTGTGGATCATAGACCCATGAAGTCCAAACTTCATTTTATTCCTTGTCAACAGTAAAACATCTCTAAACACAGAATTAATCAAAATTTGTTAGAAGGATTTTTTTCCCTCCAAAATTCTGAGTCTTCATGTGAGTTTTTACCTGGTTGGTTCACTTCTTATTTATTTATTTTTGCGAAAGCAAAAACAGCCTCATACATTTTTCTCAGACTTCATTATGTGAATCATGTACAGTTAAACTCTTTTCTTCTCAGATAATAAATTTCCTTGTAAGTTTAATTTGGTATACATTAGTTATAAACATTCCAAACAACATTAAGTTTTGAAACTAAAGCTAAAGAAATTAGAACAACCATATGTTTTAAACAACCATATGTTTTAAAGCTAAAGAAATTAGAACAACCATATGTTTTTAAAAAGTTAGTTCTATAAAATAAACTAGATTATCTTAATTCTCTCCAAAGAGAATATTTGTCTACTTTATGTATATTCACTATTTGAGACAACAAAACCAATCTCCATTATTTAATCAACATTTGGAATGTCTTTTTAATATATTTAAATAGCAACTGTATCAGTAGTTATATAATTGTCACGTTTTACATACTTCATTTGCATGAACTCTTCTCTTTCTATTATTATTCTATTTACCAAATAAGACTTTTTAGTATATTTACTAAATAGTAGTAGTATATTTACCACTGACTTTGCAATATCTCCCCAGTGAAGTTGTCACCAGCTTCTGGAAGGACCTTCGTTTTTCTCTGCTTTAATTTTTATCCGTGTCAGGGATTTAGCCTTGTTCTATTAATTTGATGACACAGTTCTTAATCCTATTAACTCAACATATTGAGATTAAGAATATGGTCTAAAATTTGGTAGGGATTAGAAGAAAACACTAGAGGGCAGGCTGTGAACACAATCGAGGACAATGACCTTGGGCTATCTTATTTTACACAAATATGTTTTGATAGAACTTATTAAAACCTTAAAATATATTTTTTAAATTTTCATTTTAAAATCTGTATATTGTACCGGGCTCGGTGGCTCAGCCTTGTAATTCCGTGCCTTTGGGAGGCTGAGGTGAGTGGATTGCCTGAGCCCGTGGGTTTGAGACCCGCCTGGGCAACTTGGCAAGACCTCATCTCTATAATAAATCAAAAACTAGCCGGGCGTGGTAGCATGCGCCTGTAGTTCCAGCTACTTGGAAGGCTGAGGCAGAAGGATCACCGGAGCCCAGCAAGTTGAGTCTGCGGTGGCCAGGAGTGGCCACTGCATACAGTCTGGGCGACAGAGTGAGACTCCAACTCAAAAATAAATAAATAAATAAATAATAAATAAAAATAAAATAAAATCTGTATATTGGCCAGGTGAGGTGGCTTACTCCTGTGATCCCAGCACTCTGGGAAGCCAAGGTGGGAGGATTGCTTGAGCCCAGGAGTTTGAGACCAGCCTAGGCAACATAGTGAAACATTATCTTTATTAAAAAAAAAAAAAAAAAATTAGCTGGGTGTGGTGGTGCAAACATGTAATTCCAGCACTTTGGGAGGCTGAGGTGGAAGAATCGCCTGAGTCCAGGAGTTCAAAACTGCGGTGAGCCGTGACTGTGCCACTGTACTCCAGCCCGAGACCCCAACTCAAAAAATAGGGAGAAGGGCAGAGTTCTGGAAAAGAGGGTCATAAGAAATTGTCCAGCTTTGCTCTGACTCTGTGTACCTTTGCCTATTCATTTGCTGCTGTCCAAGCTTGGGTCCATTTGAAGTGGCTGGCATCTGCAAGTTTCTTTTTAGCAGACCCAAATTTTGTTGAAAATGGAACCAGATTTTATGTATCTAGTGGCTCACCCTCTAGTAGATTTTTTTCCTTTAATCCATGTTCTCCTTTTAAGTGCAATTTCTGAGAAAAGAATTTTATTGCTAACTAGTACTAATTATTTTTAAAATATCTTGATGCTTCCAAAAAGGCTCTTCCTCTAATTACTTCATCTGTTTTCACAGCTGCCATTTTGTTCTTAAGATTAAGCAATCCTTCATATGAATCCGGTCACTCGAATAATTATAACGTCATTATGCTCAAGACTTAAGTGGATTATAAAATATTACAGAAAGTTGGTTGGTAACTAAGGAGACCTAGAAATAAAAGTCATCTTAATTAAGGAAGTGGGCAAGAGGATACATGTATATCAACTGAGAAACAGAGGATTCAGACAAATGAACTTCAAAATGTCAGACAATTGTTGCTAAGCTCAGTCTTGGACAGTGCACCTTAGAGGGTGGCCATAATGGACTCATTAATATGTCACCCCCAAGTTAGACCTGCCTACCCTGTCACTGTCATAGCTGGGCTTCCCCTTGGGCCACTTGGCAGGGAGCAGACCGGGAAGCCTGTCCTATTTATGCTGTGTCCTTTGTGGAGCCAACTCCAGGATATAATGTCAATGGTCCCTGCAGTTATGTGACCCAGGAGTTCTGCATGTGTCCTGCAGGCAAGCAAGGATTTGCTGTCTTGCACCAATAAGTTAGGAAAAAGAGGAAAAGAGCACAATTTTTTAATGAATCCTCCACAACTGTGATCGGCAGGCCTATAATATGAATCAGATGACACCCCTGCTTTGCGAGGTGAGAGATGGGATGGGGAGAGGTTGGACGTGTTACCTTGGTAGAAGTGTCTCCAAAGTATCTAGAGGTGGTTCTCCCAGCCCCAGTAGAAAGTCAAGGATGAGATGCAAAAGAGAAGAAAAGTGAAAAACAAAGGCATGAGGATCTACATAAATTATTCATGGAGGATATCATAGTAATTGATTTCATCAGACTTATTTCCTCCCTCCATTCTTCCCACAACCCTTCTCTTCCATTCCCTTCCCTCCCCCTTCCTTCCTTCCTTCCTTCCATCGTCATTCATTGTTATTTGCTTAATAGACTTAAAAGAGATGGTTCACAATCATAAGCAAGATTTTAGAAGTAGGGTATAAATACTCATTTAAAAGTTGCCCACTTTGACGGTAAAGTTTGACTTACTTGCTTGTTAGAAAGTACCAATGGTATAATATAAAGATCACTGATTTAAGACATCAAGTTCCATCAAAATTCCTGCCACACAATGCCTAAAAGATCAACTTTCCATACGACCCTGCAATCCCCCTACTGGAAATATACCCAGAATAACTCAAATCACTCTATAAAAGATACCTGCACACGTATGTTTATCACAGCATTGTTCACAGTAGCAAGAATATGGAACCAACCGTGCTGTCCATTGAAAGAGGACTGGATTTAAAAAATGTGGTACATATACACAATGGAATATTATGCATCCATAAAGAACAAAATCATGAACTTCACAGCAACTTGGATGGATTTAGAGTCTATAATACTGAGTGATGTATCATAGAAATAAAGAACTGAGTATCACATGTTCTCACTCATAAGTGAACCTTGAACAAGTATCGTCATACTATAAGAAAAGGATTGACAGTAGTGGGAAACTGTTGGGAGTGGGGGCGGGGAAATGAGATTGGCAGGAGTGGGAGTCTGCCTGGGAAGGGAAGGCACACCTCATCAACAAGGGTATCTGCATAATGAACATTTGTATACCTAACCCTGAATTATACCCCACATCTTTAAAATAAAAGAATTAAAAGTTAAAAAAAAATCCCAGCCAAATTTTCACCTTATACTCCTGTGCACTCATACCTAAATACCTTCAGCTAAAAATTGAAAGAAATAATCTCAAGTGTTACTTCCAGCTCTGAAGTTCTGTGATTGTTATTCAGTTAGTCTTGTCAAGCTTCCACATAGCTGGAGTGTACTAAGTGAGTTGAAGCCATCTGTAAAATAAAATAAAAAAATTACAGCTGCCTTATCTCTCTTGTAGAGTTGCTAAGCAGGTCAAATTAGTTCATACAAATGAAAATGTTTTAATGAGTCATGGAGTGCAATGTAATTGGAAGGTAAACCTTTTGGTTAAAAAAAACTCAGACTAAACTAAAAGTATTATTTTAGGCTCATATAACATAAGTAGCAAAAGCAGGCATTGAATCCAGACTGAAATCTTTCATGAAAAAAGATCAGGTTTGAATACAATGTGAGGAAATTACATTCCATGGAACCTCATCATGGATCCTGTTTATCTATTTTAGACCAGTACCACACCAATTTAGTTATTGACCAGATTGTTCATAAATATACATTTTAAAACTTCTATTACCCCCAGCATAGTGCTCACTTCCAGCTAGTTCTGCTCCAGAAATAGCTTATTCAGCCAATGTCCCAGGCACCAGTTATGCTTCACATACTGAGGGTGCAGTGGTCTTGCTCCCTAGGTGCTCATATTGTATTCCAATGATAGGGAACTGGACAATACACAAGTAAATACATAAGCAAGATGTATGAGAGTATGAAAACTGCTACATAGAAAATTAAGCGGGGCTGGGCATGGTAGCTCACATCTATAATCCTAGCAATTTGAGAGCCCAAAGTGAGAGGATCACTTGGGAGCAGGAGTTTGAAACCAGCCTGGGCTACATTGCAAGACCTCAGGTCTATAAAAAAAAAATCAAAAGGTTAGCCTGGCATGGTGGTACATGCTTGTAGTCCCAAATACTTGGGAGGCTGAGGCAGGAGGATTGCCTGAGCCCAAGAGGTCGAGGCTACACTGGGCCATGATTGTGCCATTGCACTCCAGTCTGGGTGACAGAGTGAGACCTGGACTCAAAAAAACCAAAAACAAACAAAAAAAAGGAAAGAACATGAAATGGGAGTGATGTGATAGTAACTTAGAAGGTGGCCAAGGACGGCCTCTTTGCCTCTTTGCAGAGGGAACTTTTAACACGATCTCTGAGAGCAGAGCCAGCTACATAATGTGCAAGGCCCAGTGCAAAATGAAAATGTGGGCCCCACGTCTAAAAATTATTAAGATTTTCAAGATGGCAACAGCAGAGCATTAAACCAATCACAGAGCCTTCTGAGTGGGGGGGAGGGCATGCAGGTGGCACATGCATGAAGTTGACCTTGCCTGAAAGACGGGGCCTCTTCCAGGATCCAAGGAAGGGCAAGTGCAAGGGTGGAAACATGCTCAGCAAGCTCATGGCACAGAAAAGAGGCCAGTGTGGCAGAGTACTGTGAGAGGAGTGTGATGTTAGGTGAAGAGGCAGAAATTTTAAAACGTAGATTTATACACAACCTGGTCAATAACTAAATTGGTGTGGTGCTGGTCTAAAACAGATAAACAGGCTCCATGATGAAGTTCTGTGGAATGTCATTTCCCCACAAGACAACACATTAGATCATATCATTGCCTTTTGGAAAATCCTCTACAGGGATCCCACCTGCCTTTAAAAAAAAATTCTGACTTCTTACCCTGCCCCACTATATGATCTGTACTGTAGGAGAGTAAGGTAGATGACAAACTACTCAGGAAGTTGTTTTCATCACCAGGGCAGAGATAATGGAGGCTCCTTGGTGAGTGAGAGGTGGTCAGATTTGGGATTTATTTTGGAGACAAGGCTGAATTGTGAGGTGAGGGGGAAAGCGGGATTCTTGACTCGAGCTGTGGGTCTGAGGCGAGAACGGCTGGGGCAGAACACGGCAGGGCTGTTGCTGGCACGTGCCCTTGCTCACTCCCAGGGGCCCCCACCCGGTGCATCAGGTTCTCAATCTCACCGCCAATGGGGACTTTTATTGCTAAAGTCATCAAGAAACGACTGATGACCAATTCCCCTGGTGACTTCCTTACTGTCCTTCATGTGGCACTTGGCACAGGTGATGGGCAGTTGTTTTTAAAGCATCCCTTCC